GGAGTAAAATATTTAAAGAATATTTAAATTTTGATCAATAATCATACTTATTATAAATTAAAAATAAAGTACAGTTGCCTACATGGATCACAAAAGAAAACTGATTTTAATTATATTCAGGCTCTTCCTGTAGACCCAGCTGGACTGGAACGCTCTATGTAGACCAGGCTGACCTTTCTCACTGAAACCTGCCTGCCTCTGCTGCCTATGTACTGGGTTTAAAGGCATGTGCCATCATGTCTCGCAACTGTAATAATATTAATTCTACATCATCCTCATTTATTGTTCCCTTTTCTAGATTTTTCAGTTACAATGGAAATTGTAACTATTTGTCACACTGAGCCTTAGACCTGATAATTGACTTCAATGAGAAGCACAGGATGGAGTTAAAATTGTGAAAGCTTAGGGAAATGTCACAGTATTCTCCAGGTCTTTGACCTCTGCCGGACTGCAGCATGTTACAATACACCAATGCAATAGAAACTAATTTACAGTTAATAATGGGAAATGAAGTTCTCTTACATTGCATTTTTATTCCACAGAAATTATTTCAAGGCTTTATTGAACTATACCCTTTGCCTTTCATGGTGAACGTTTGGGATGAACTTTTTTTTCAGAAATGAAGCTCTAGCCTCACCCAAAGTTAGTATTGTAGACAACTTTCTATAATAGAGCAAGGCTTTTGTGTTTGAAAGCTGCTATAAAATCATGGATCTGTTCCTAGCCTTAGATTATGACATTAAGAATCAAAAATTCAGGAATATACTTGGAATTCTTTTAAGTTTAAACATAAACATATTTATTTATATAAGTTTATGTTTATATTAAGTTTATATTTGTTTATATAAATTTAAACAAAAACTTATATAGTATATTTGTCACTTTATAAAATGGTTGTCAAAAATCTCTCATTGAAGTTCATTAAAAATACTATTGTTTACTAAAAATAGTAGAACAAAAAAATAAGTGATATTTTGTTAAAACAACAAAGCAGCATATTAAGGTAGAATTACCTATAGTGTTTTCCCAACTAGTGGCAATTCATATATGTTAAATGATTCATTTTATTTAACATTTGTCAAATGAATTATTTTATTCAGTATTATCAAGTGAACTCCTTCATCTGTTGCTAGAAACAAAGAAATGTGTGATATAGTTTATCGGAGACAGTGCAAATAAACCAAAGGAAACTTGAAACCAACCTGATAAGTCAAGAGAAATACATTTTCATTGCTGTTTGTTTTTAGATGAAATCTCACATGTAGCACAGGCTGTCCCTAAACTTGTGATTCTCCTGCTTCAGGAGCTGTGATTACTGGTGTGTTCAACCTCACTATTTTTGCTCTAAATGTCATAAAACCAAACATTTTGATAAAGTAATTCCCAAGTCAAGTAACTTAAATATTTAAGGAGCAAATTTCTTTAATATAGGACTTAATTGCTCATAGTAGAAATTGAGAAGTTATGAATGGTGTCGCTTTTATAGATAGCTCTAGTTTTGGCTCAGCTGGTTACAATGAGTATTGCATTTTCTTTCAAATAGAAATCTCTGGGACTGATAATGAGTTATCCATTATCATTATCATTTGTAGGGATCAGAGACATAGACAATGGAGACAGTAAATTTGAATCTAATGTTCTAAGTTGCCTAGCAATTCTGAGCTTGTCCTATTTTAATGTTGAATGTAAGAACAATGTTATGCTGCCCTATTTCTTAAATATTAAGTCATAAAACATGAATTGTTTATCCACACTTCAGGAGCATTCTCACAATGTTGTCTTATGTGCACATTTTTAATAGGGAATGAACTTCGGATAGTGGACTTAGAAGCAAAATAAAGAAATGAATATTGAACTACTGACAACCAGACAATGACACGAAAAGCCCATATGATGTCCTTCTGTGTGTTTCACGATCCTTTAAAATACATCTTCAAAGTACAAGCTTGATGTTCTCAGGTGTTATATGCATTGTGTTCTTGTTGCCTGTGGTTTCACTTTTCTGCCTTTTTTCCTTTTGTTTCATCTTCTCAAGAAGAGTTGTCACCTTTCTGCTTGTTTTAGAAAATGTTGCATTAAAAATTAATTAATATCGTTGGAAGATATCCTGATTTTATAAATTAAAACATTTACCAGAACAATGTGGGGTAGAAGGAAATGTAGTGTATCAATGGTCTATTTCTTGTTCACACAAAAAATATTTGAAAGAAAACAGTAATCAGATCACGCTTTCTGTGGGTGAGGATGGGGGAGGGAGTATAAGGAGGACTAAGATGTTGTGTATGAAATACACAAAAATTCAACAAAAATATATCTATAAGAAAAGGAATCCCCTGTCTGAATGTCATTGTAGAAGTCTAAGTCTGAGGAAAATGGGAAGAGGAAGCGTTTATGAGAAAGGGTGACAAAACCACAGACCAACACTGGGTGACTGCCAGGGTTCAGCCACAAAGCCTGTCAGCAAACATCCTGTTGACAAAGTGGTATGGACACATAAAGAGAGAGAAAGCAGGCATTAAAATCCTTATTTTTCAGCCTCTACATTTGTTCAGTGTGTTTGATGCCTGGATTTATTTATTTTTATTTTATTTATTATTTTTATTTTATGCGTATGTGTGTATTGCCTGCATATATTTAGATGTACCCATATTGTGCAAAGCCCGCCAGAGTCAGAAAAGGTCATTGGATCCCTGGAACTGGAGTTATGGACAGTTGTTAGCTGCCATGTGGCTGCTGGGAATCGAACCTGGGTCCTCTGAAAGAGCAGTCATTGCTCTCAACTGCTGAGTCATTTCTCCAGCCCCTTGGAGCCTAGATTTCTCCAGTCCTATATATTAGCCATGTTATTTTGTTTCTTTTGTTTTTCTTCTTCTTTTTTTAGGGGAGAGTGCAAACATAGTCCCCCATTACCACAAATTATGCAGTCGAGTTTCCTGCATTTGGGGAAATCGCAGGGGTCAGCACATCCCAAGTGCAATGGATGGGCCTCACCCTGGGAAAACCACCTTCCTGATCCTAGTGTCTCCCTATATTTTGTTCTTCACATGTCAAATGTTCTATTTTTTTGGAAAAAATATATGTAACTATTATATACAATGTAATGTAGGAATCCTTGAACTTAGTTTCTGTGCTCACCTTAGGGCATGCTCTTGGCTCTGTTTTTGTTGCTTTTTTTCAGGTTAAGGGTAGTTTAAATTAATTCTTAACGTTTATATTTTTGTCAGTTGTTCACTGAAGTTTCTGTTCCACTATCCATTTGTTACTAATTATAAGATAGATTCCTTTAGATTGCTTGATATAATGAATCTTTTAAACCTACCAAGGGAACTTCAGTGTTCAGGACAGCATGCTACCAACCCTCAGCATGGAAGTTTTCAGCTTTGCCTGACCCCTCCATTACTTAGGAGAACCTCAAGGTTGGAATTGGAAACTGAGAGCATGCACCCCTATTTTCTGGGAGTATGCCTGCGTGGGCATCTAGCTCCTTAAGAATATATAAATACTTTGAAAATCTCATAATGAAAGTCACTAGCTAGATCTTCCAAATTTTATTAGTTGTCTGTTCCAGCTGTATTCACTGTGTAAGGCATCTGAAATATTAAAGCAATTGCCAATAATTAACTTCAACAAATTTTTGTGGGGAAAAGACTGCAGTGGTTAGACCTGGAGTGAGATGAAATTGAGAAAAGATTTGTGGGTGGGTTTTCTATGGACTTGCCAGACACGTTAAATAAACATTTTCTGGGAATGACTTGACAGCTTCAGTCATTTAAGATCCCTAGTGGCCATTAGGGTGCTGGCTTTCCCAATCATTTGAAGCAGTTAATTTTTCAGGATTGTAACCAAAAAATTACGAATTCCTCCAAGAAGAGTGGGCGATGCAGGGGCACCTTGGGAAAAAGGGTGGCGCCATGGCCATTTTTGGAACTCTGGCAGTGTGCGTCAAGGAAGCTGCGAATGCCTGGGCTCCGCAGGTGAGAGATGTGGCACTCAGACGAATGGAGACTAGGGAGAGCTTGAATGGCATGTGAGATACGAGAAGCCATTTCTTTGTAAATCAAGCCACTGGGGGTGGAGCAGCCACCATATTGGAGCACAGGTGAACACCAAGCAAGGGAACAGGAGTGGGAGATAGATCATGCATACATTTCAAATATGGAAAAGGAAAAGCCTATAAGAATCTGTGTTTTTGTAAGTCACTCCCTCCCAAATGTCATATAAACTATACAAAATTCAAATAGCACTGTGTTAGGCTGGTTTTATTAACCAGAAGTCAGAACTGGGAGATCCCCTGAGGGTCAGTCTCCCAGAGGGCAGTAAGGAAAAAATTTAATGAAACAAGGATACTATGGTCTTGGAAAAGGAGATGGGATAGTATAATGCATATGTCACAATATTGTCTGACTTTATCTTTTTCTTGAAGTAATGCTCCAAAGATGCATTCCAAGTTTTTGGATAATTTATAAAGTTTGAAAAAGTTGATACTGAATTTATGACTTTCAACTTCCTCCTTGTATTTATGGAGGAGAGCCCACTAGAGGTTCGCTGGACTTGATCTCACAGGTATCTGCCTGCCTCTGCATCCCCAGTGCTAGGAATAAAGGTGTGTGCCATCACACCTGGTTCGAGTAAAACACTTAGTTATTTTAGTATATTTAACTTTAATTTAATAAGTAAAGAAAAAATTTTCAGGTTAGTACAATTCGTTCATTTAGTGATAACAATGTACAACAAGAAAGAATGCAGTGCAGCCAATTCCTTCCTGAATTAAAAAAAGAGATCACTTTTAGATTTTTTTGGAAGTTTCTTCTTATTTTTTTATTAATTTTTTGAGAATCTCATGCAGTTATTTTGTTCACATTCACTCCTCCTACCCCAATTCCTCCCAGATCCCTCCCTTCCCTACCTATTTAATTTGTGTTCTCTTTCTTTTTTTAATCAAGTCCAATTTCTGCTCTCCATATACTCTTGAGTGTGGGGCAATCTACTGGAGCAGAGCTGACCTATCAGGGGCCTTCTCCTAGCGGATATCAATTGCCAATCAGACCTCAGCTAAGAGTGAACCATTGAGCCACTTCCCTTCTCCATGCTGAGATTTTGTCTGGCTTGAGGGTGTGTGGGTATTGTATATGCTGTCCCAACCACTTTGATTTTCTATGCAGGTGTTGTGTATGCTGTCCCCACCACTGTGAGTTTTTCTTTCTTTATTATTTTTATTTTATGTGTATGAGTGTACTGCCTACATGTACTTGAGTGCACCCATGTCCTGCAATGCCATGGAGGTCAGAAGAGGGCTTTGGATTTCCCTGGAACTGGAATTAAGGACAGTTTTTAGCCCCCATGTGGGTGTTGGGAACCGAACCCAGGTCCTCTGCAAGAGCAGTCAGTGCTCTTAATCGCTCAACCATCTCTCCAACCCCCCACTGTGAGTTTCTATGTGCAACTTTCCTTGTGTTCATCCACTGCTTCTGGCTCTTACAATCTTTCCACAGCCTCTTCTGCTGTGATCCCTGAGCCTTGGGTGGTAAGTCTGTTTTAAGTAAACATGCCCTCTAGTGTCTAATTCAGTAATTATACTGAAAAATATTTGTGGCTTCCATATTCTTCTGTTTGTTTTTAAGTGACTCTTTAGCTAAAAGAGTGATTATATTCTTGATTTCTAAAAATAGTACAGATGTATGAAATAGTAGGTCATCTCACTTTTTTCTTGGTATCATTAAAATTTGTAGATAGAATATTCACTGGTTGATTGGAATTTTAAGTAAGAATTTTAATCATTTTTTGACTCATAGGTAAGTTGTAGGACTGAGCAGAATGGAGCAGTAGATAGGATGTGGATCATTATGCAGCATCCAGGCCAGAAGTAATTATTATTTTTTTGTTATTGATGCCTCTTAATAAAGAGAAATCTGCCTTAAGTCTTTGAAATATAATTAAATGTAACATTTCACCGCACTGAATACTATTTTTTTAAAACTTTTATAATGGTAAGAATTTAAAATTCCTTATGATTCTGAATAAAGGCAGTATTTTTAAAGTGAAAAAATAAATGAAGCAGTAAGAGAGTGCATGAAGGTGGGAGGGTGTAGCAGAGTAGGAGTGGAGAAGGGAGGGGTGTCTGAATGCAATCAAATTATATTGATGGACATTTGGGGACATAGACTTAAAATGGTAAGCTTTAACACATGTAGCAGAATGCATGAAACCTGGTGGGGTGGTTATGGGTGCTGCAGTTAGTGAGGGGTTCTAAATATGATCAGGATGTATTATATGAAATTTGCAGAAATTCAATAAAAATAAGTTTAAAAATTCTCAAGCAATCAACAAAATATTAGATTTAAAACTGCAATGGAAGAAACTTATGCAGAAGTGTTTGGAGTTGTTTAGAGATTTCTAGTCACCAACTGGAAATTGTGTCCTGCTTCTCTTAAGGAGGAACAACTTCTGAGGAGGAATTATGTATATGTAGTAGAAGACACACATTGTATCCCCAACCAATAAAGTAGGAGAGACATATTTATTTTTTTTTAATTTTA